GATGCATAAGATTTTTAGAAATCCTCATCATACCTGACTTGGGTGTCTAGGTGGTGGCCTGAGGCTGGGTTTCTTTAAGGGAACTGTTTTGTTGACTTCTGAGTAACAAGCGAGATATACTAGAAGCTGTTTTGTGCTGTCTTGGTAAATCTAAGTATTGGGATATCCACCAGCTTTGGGGCTTGCCTGCCCCATTCTTTGCAGTTCACCCTAATTGAGTGACCTCAGCTGGCTCCCCTGAGCCTCTGGTCACAGTCATATATACACAGAAGGCACTTCAGCTCTTACTGCCTTATTCCCTCCCCTAGTAGATTAATATACCAGATAACATATCATAATTGAACCCTGTGAGACCTTGCATAAGAAAGCCCACCAGGCAAGATGAGCAACTGCAAAAGACTGAGTCCTGTCAGAATGATAAAGAAAGGGGCCTATGTCATGGTTTTTGGAGAATGTGATGTTACATTTTGCACCCCACAGACAGTATTATATAGAGCTGATTGTAAAACTCATATTTTCCTGTGAAAATATTAACTGCAGAGGGCTGCAAGCAAAGTGTTCTGAGTATAGTAACAAAGACAGTTTCCTCAACCAAACACAAAGAGACGTGGATAACAGAAAAGAGAGAAGGTTAAAGGAATCAAAGAATGAGATGCTCCTTTGTTAGGTGGTAAGTGAGTGATTATTGTTGTCAGCTTTAGGGCTAAATTATAGCCCTTTCCTCAGGCAGGCAGAATCCTTGGTCCATCTGAGGTCAGGCAGGAAAACTGGACTGGAGGAGTGGTTGAGATGATGGATAAAATTCCCATCCCTTTGCCAAAGTGGAGAGGAGACAGCATCAGAGGAACAGGCAAAAAAGAAATCCAGAGATTATCTAAGGTAGGTTGTTAAACCAAAAAAACGCCATGGCCTTTGCACTCATTAGGCCCATAACGTGGAGTGGAAAATAAAATAAAAGTAAAGGATAGATGCAGCACAGAAAAAAACACAGCTGCTCGAGAACAACACTGTCTGTCTGTGCCAAGATCCACCCATGTGCCAATGAGATCTCTTGGTCAACATTGGCAAAGGCTTGAATATGTAGAACCACATCGAGCTGTGGTTAGTTTACTGAGCATGTTGTCTATTTGGGAGCTATTATTTTAACATAATCATACCCTGGTGGGTGCCTAAAGTAAGGCCCTAAATCCATATTTGGCACAGAAGTAAAAATGGCCTCATTTGTTCAAAGGGGCTGAGCATCTTCAGCTTCCATGGATTTCAGTGCAGTTAGTGGGTGCTCAGCAGCTGTGGAAATCAAGTGTTCATACAGATTTAGTAGCCTAACTTCAGGCACCCAGGTTGGGAAGGGTTGGTCTCAGGTGTTGAATAGCAATGGGTATGTTAGAAGAGAGAGTTTCCTTATGTCATTCTCCCCTATGAATCAATGGCGGAGTCATCTCCTGCATGATTTATTCCTTTTATATTCATGGACTGGAAAACCCTTTGGTATATATCTGTATATACTGGCATCATCCATCATATATGTATTGCACTGGAGTCACTTTGGTTTTTGTTCCTGTTTGTGGAAGTCTTGAGCACATTGCCCTTTGGGATATTTGGAGCTGATGTTGAAGTTGAACAGAAAGAGAACTGGGTTTGTCAGAGGATCAGAGTTTCGACTTGGAGAATCGATTTGTGTACTATTAGTTAGAACGTCGGTGGTTGTTACATTAGGGTTATGGAAGCCATTTAAGGTTATACACAAAATTTCAAATAGTACAGCAGTTTGGTTGAGTTTTATGCTCGTGTGCTGCCATCTGGTGGCAAGACTAGAAGAATCAACACCACCGTTAGTATGAGGTGAAATATACAGTCTGCAGCTAAGGTGGGACTTTCACTTCAGGGGGTAGCCATGTTGACAAGAAGGTGTGAGTATCAACAGAGGGAAAATTACTTTTGTAGTGACCCAGCCACTCCCATTCTTTGTTCAGGCCTAATCTGATGGTGTCAAGTTTGCAAATTAATTCTAATTCTGCAGTTTCTCATTGAAATCTGGTTTTGAAGATTTTTTGTTGAAGAATGGCCACTTTTAAGTCTGTTGTTGAGTGTCCAGAGAGATTGAAGTACTCTTCTACTGTTTTTTTAATGTTACAATTCTTGGTGTCTGATTTGTGTCCATTTATTCTTTTGCATAGAGACTGTCTGGTTTGGCCAATGTACATGGCAGAGGGGCATTGCTGGCACATGATGGCATATAAGACATTGATAGATGTGCAGGTGAACAAGCCCCTGATGGTGTGGCTGATGTGGTTAGGTCCTCTGATGGTGTCCCTTCCTTGAATAGATATGCAGACAGAGTTGGCAACGGGGTTTGTTGCAGGGATTGGTTCCTGGGTTGATGTTTTTGTTGTGTGGTGTGTAGTTGCTGGTGTGTATTTGCTTCAGGTTGGGAGGCTGTCTGTAAGTGAGGACTGGCCTGTCTCCCAAGGTCTGTGAGGATAGGTTGTAGATCCTTGATGATGCACTGGAGAGGTTTTAGTTGGGGGCTGTAGGTGACGGCTAGTGGCGTTCTATTACTTT